AAGCAACGAATCCCCCCCCCGGTGCGGGGGCTCGGCGCCCGGGGGCGTTTGGCCTGAAGTGTCCGGGGGAGTTTGGCCTCAGGTATCCGGGAGTGTTTGGCCTCAAGCGTCCGGTGAGGCGGCACAATACGAAAGTAAATGTTAGCCTCTCCGGGGGGGTCTCCCTGGATGGCCCCCCCACTTGTATGTAAGCCATCTCGGGATCTCGGGCTTAGGAGTCGAGGAGCACACCCTGCTTTCGACAGGGGTCGCAGAGGCAGGGGGAGCGTCCACGAAGTAACTTTGCGGCCGTGGTGTTTTCGATTTGATGTGATTCGGTTCCTCCTCCTCCTCCTCCTCCTCCTCCATATCCTCCTCCCCTTTCATTGGTCCTCCCTCGGGCTCCCTCTTATCCCCTCCTCATCCCTCCTCTTCCTCCTCCTGGATTCCCGTTAGTTATCCTGATCAACCTCCTCGCCCCGATCGTGCCCTCGCCTCTCCTTGCCCCGATCGCGCCGTGAGCTCCACAAAGTGTTCGGTTTCGGGTCGGCCGCGGCTGGGTCACCCTCAATTCTGGTCAGAACGCGTCCCGCGAAAGGTCGTCGTCGTCGCCGTCGAGGAGGGCGGAGGACGATCGAGGTTCCAGTACCGGGGAACCCCGAAACCCGACGTCTTGGAAAAGATCAGACCCGGGGGTTCACGATGTTCGGCCCCCGGGGGGGCGCTTTCGGACCCAGGGGCTGTCAAAAAGCTATCTGGGACGGAACACCAGCCTCGGGCCGAGGTCGGGGGCCGCGTGTTGAACGAATCACGACGTTCGCTGCCGATGCTGCTGATGTTGCTGCCGCCGCCGCTGCTGCTGCACCCCTCGCCTCGCCTCTTGCCCCTGGGCCTGTTGCCGCCGCTCCTGCCGCCGCTGCTCCTGCTGCCCCTGCAGCCCCTGCCACACACGCTGCTGCCCCTCCCCCCCCGCACCTCCCCACTCCTCATCCTCCTCCACCTCCTCCGTGCTGCTGCTGCTGCTCCTCCGTGCGCCGGCCCCCCTCCCGAAGGCGCCTAGCGTCTGGCGTCCGCCAGCGCAGCGCTGCCCGGCAGCAGGGGCAAGGGCAAGGGCCCGCGGCGCCACGGGGGGCAGGGGGGGATTGGGAGGGCTCCTCCTCCCTCCCTCACTCCCCCTCCCTCCCCCCCCTCCCCCTCCCCTCCTCCTCCCTCCCCTCTCCTCCCTCCGCTCCTCCTCCTCCTCCTCCTCCTCCTCCTCCTCCTCCTCCTCCTCCTCCTCCTCCTCCTCCTCCTCCTCCTCCTCCTCCTCCTCCTCCTCCTCCTCCTCCTCCTCCTCCTCCGCCTCCTCCGCACCCCCACCCCCACGCCCCCCGGGCACGCGGTCGGTCCCACGCGCGGGTGCGGGCGCGGACGGCGGCCGCGGCGGCGACCCCAGAGCCTGGCGATGTTCGACTCCATCCGGGGGTCCCCGGAACTCCCCGGAGGTCTCCGGGAGGTCCCTGCTTGAAGGCCCCTGGAAGCCCGGAACGGGCCAACAAAAATCCCGAATGGCTCGGACGCGTTCTCCATGGTCGACCGAGGACCGACGCCCGACGCCCGACGCCCGACGCCCGACGACGACGACGACGACAGACGACAGACGACGACAGACGACGACAGACGACGACAGACGACAGACGACAGACGACAGACGACAGACGACAGACGACAGACGACAGACGACAGACGACAGACGACGACGACGACGACGACGACGACGACGACGACGACGACGACGACGACGACGACGACGGACGAAAACGGAGACGATGGAGACGACGACGACGGAGACGACGACGACAGACGACGACAGACGACGACAGGCGACGACAGACGACAGACGACAGACGACCGACGACGACGACGACGACGACGACGACGACGACGACGACGACGACGACGACGACGGCTACGACAGACGACGGACGACGGACGACGGACGACGGACCGACGGACCGACGACCGACGACCGACGACCGACGACCGACGACTCACGACCGACTACACCGACGACCAACGACCGACGACCGACGACGACCGACGACCGACGACGACGGACGACGACGACGGACGACGACGACGGATGACGGACGACGGCGGACGGCGGACGGCGACGGCGACGGCGACGGCGACGGCGACGGCGACGGCCACGGCGACGACGACGACGACGACGACGACGACGACGACGACGACGACGACGACGGCGGCGACGACCGCCGCACCCTGAGTCGGGTACAGCCACGGGCGCCCCCGCCCAGACGCAGGATGGACCAAAACCGCCCAGAAATTTTGATCCACGCGCCTCTGTCTTCGACCCTCTCCGAAGGCCTCGTGAGGCCAGACGGGGCCAAAATCGCATCAGGTTTCGCTCTCCTCGACGTGCGATCGACGACGACGACGACGACGACGACGACGACGACGACGACGACGACGACGACGACGACGACGACGACGGCGACGACGACGGCGGCGGCGGTGGCGGCGACGGCGGCGGCGGCGGGGGCGGCTCGCTTAGACGGCTCAGGCTGTTCCAGGCCCGCCGGCAGGAGCCCCGAGCCCTGCTCCCAGGAGGCCCCGGAAAAGGTTACTCTGGGGGCAGGCAGGCGCCGCGGGCGGGCGGACGGGCGACCTCCCCAATGCCCCCGCCTCCCTCTCTCCCTCCCCTCCCTCAGTTCCCCTTGCCGTCCTGCTTCGTCCCCCCCCCCTTTCCACCCCCTCCTCATTTCGGACTCCCCTCCTCACCTCCCCTGCCGTCCCTGTCCCCGTCCTGCCCACCCGTTCCCTTCCTCCCCTCGCCCCCCCTCCCCTGTCCTCGTCTCCCCTCCCCTCCCCGCGCCCCTCCCAGAGGGAGCGGGGATGTTGGGGGGAGGGGTGATGGAAGAGAAGGGGAGGGAGGGAGGGAAGGAGGGAAGGAGGGAGGGAGGGAGGGAGGGAGGAGGAGGAGGGGGGAGGAGCGGTAAGCAGCAGGAGCGGGAGGAACGTTATGATGATGAGAAGTGGAAGCGTATGTGAGCAAACGGCCAAACCCTGAGCCCGCAGCAAGAGGCGCATCTAATGCGCTGAATGCTGAACCACAACCTCAAGATTGCGAACCACAACCTCATGATTCCCGCTTTCCTCCTCCTCCTCCTCCCCCTCCTCCTCCTCCTCCTCCTCCTCCTCCTCCTCCTCCTCCTCCTCCTCCGCTAGGCCCCCCTGTATGAGCCCGCCCCTCCCCGCCAGGCTCCCGAGCTGCCCTGCGATAGGCGGCAGCAGCAGCAGCAGCAGCAACTCTGTGGACAGATGCTGAGATCGCCTCGCCTAGCTGTTCCTCCTCATCCTCCGCTCTCCTCCTCCTGAGGAGGAGGAGGAGGAGGAGGAGGAGGAGGAGGAGAGGAGAGGAGGGAGGAGAGGAGGAGGAGGAGGAGAAGGAAAGCAGGAGGAGGAGGAGGAGGAGGGAGGCGGAGGCGGAGGCGGTGGCGGAGGCGGAGGCGGAGGCGGAGGTAGAGGCGAAGGCGGAGGAGGAGTAGTAGTAGGACCCCTCCCCCGACCCCGGCCCCCTTCCCTTCTCACGCCACCGCTCCCTTCATCCCTACGCCAATATGCTGAGAAGGTTTCTTTGCTCTGCACCCAGACATCCGACAATGGGAACGTTTCCATCCGCGGGCCCCACGGAAGTCTCGAGACCCTGCCCCGGGGGCAATCGCTCGTCCCGGATCCGTTCCTGACGGCCCCGGGGGCCCGCAATGAGCCCCCCAGAAGCCGAAGTGGAAGAAGGAACGATGGGATTGGGCGTCGCGTAATGGGGGGGAATACCAGGGGGGGAGGGAAAGGTGCATTTTGGGGGCCCTGAAGGAGGCTTCCGTTTGGGCCCTACAGGGCTGATGTAGGGCCCCCCCAAAAGGGCCCCTTTTCTGTAGCCCCCGCTGCCTCCCCAATTGATCGCCCCCAATGAATACAGGCCGCCTAGATGGGGTCCGAGTAGATGGGGTCGAAAGATCGCGCCGCATCGCCAATGCGTCGCCGATGTATCTATCGGCGATGCATCGGCGACACCGGCGTGGGAAAAATCGGGCTCCACATCGAGCCGCATTGGCGGTGCATCGGCGATGCGGCGCGATCCTCAGACCCCATCCACTCGGACCCCATCTAGGAGGCCTAGAATCAAGCAACGCCCAATGAGATCGAAAAAGACAGTTTACCGGATGCCTACAAGCCTCGTCAAACAAAATTTGAAACGTGGTTCAAAATAGATGCGCTCGATAGTTCGGGCACTTGTCAGAAAACGCGTTCTTCAAGGCTGTGAGGGCACTGCCGGATCTCGGACACCCTTGCGTCTGGGCCGAATACCTCACGCCAGCATTGAAGTAGCGCCCACCACGCAAGCACCGAAAATAAAAAATGACAATATATGTTTGACGAGTCTTATGGGCGATTTCGGAAACCCTGAACCCTAAAACGTGTTCATCTCTCGGGGGCGCACTTTTTACTTCCGCCGCCTTCCGCCGAGCTTCCGCCAGCTTCCGCCAGCGGGGCGGCCTCGTTCTACTTCCGCCGACCTTCCGCCGCCTTCCGCCGCGGAAGGGATGTCAACTCGCCTTCGACCCTCGAAAGCAAGGCCCTTTGTTGGAACGCCTCTTGCAGGATGCCGAAAGGCTGCTCTCATAGAAGAAGAAAAAGCCACATAAGCATAAACTTTTGGCGCTCCGCACGGGTTTCTTGGATTCGCGCTGGACCCCCCTCCCTGGCGCGCGGAGCGCTCCAGGGGCGGCGCCAGAGGCTCCGCCGGGGGGCTCGGGCGCGGAGCGCCAAGAAATCCGCGCGGAGCGCCAAAAAATTATGTTTGTGTGGCTTTTTTTCTGATACTATGGGAGCAGCCGTTCGGTATCCTACAAGAGCCGTTCCAACAAAAGGCCTTTATGTTATGCTCATTCTTATTTGGCTTTTGCACGTTCCTACAAAAAGTTTACGTTTATGTGGCTTCTTCTTCGATCTTCGCAGGCCTGCGCCGCGCTCAGCTCGAGCGAGCCGGCCACCAGCGCCCCAGCAGGCGGGGCGCCGCCGGCGCGTGCGAGGAGGCCGACCTCGAGCTCGCCCACCTCGGGGAGCAGGCCGGGGCAGCGGGGAGGAGACGCGGAGGCAGGATGAAGAGGGGGGGGGGGCGTGCACGGCTTCCCCCGGGGCAGTGGGCGACCCGAGGAGGAGGAGGAGGAGGAGGAGGAGGAGGAGGAGGAGGAGGAGGAGGAGGAGGAGGAGGGAGGCGAAGGAGGAAGGGCCATCGTAAGGCCGAATCGGGCCCCCTCGCGCGGGGAGCTCGCGGGCCGGCCCCACCAGAGGCCTCCTGGATGGGGTCCGAGTAGATGGGGCCGGAGGATCGCGCCGCATCGCCGATGCATCGCCGATGCACCGGCGATGCACCGGCGATGCTTAGTCGACGTCGGCGAAGCATCGCCGACATCGGCGTGGGGGAACACGGGCTCCACATCGAGCCACATCGCCGATGCATCGGCGATGCGGCGCGATCCTCCGGCCCCATTTACTCGGACCCTATCTAGAAGGCCTAGACCCACGCGCCCCGCCCGCAGGACGACTGACGTGGGTGGGCGCGCCGCCTTGGATCTTTCCGAGTGGCATGCACCGGTCGCGCCGTACACGGCCCCGCCTCGAGATTCTGGGGACATTCCTCGGAGCCGTTGCGCGGCGGCGGCGACCGCGCCCGCTTCGCGGGCAAAGAGAAGACAGATGATAATCAAACGCTTTGCAGTGCGCCAAGCACTAGTAGCCACCTCCGGTCTGCGAGAATGTATCGGGCTACAGGCACAACAACTCCCAGAACACGATGCAGACCGAGAGCCTCCGCTGCTAATACTCCGGGAGCTGGTGGCGGCAGTGCGGCGGATTGAGGTCGAAATCAAGGCGTTGCGGCGTGGGGCTACAGGCGATTCCATGCTGCGTGCCGAAGCGCCCATTTACACACCTGTCGGAGTGCAGATGCTCTGGCCTACAGTCTGCGATCAGACACATCCCTTTCAGGACAGTTCAGACATCGATAATTTGAGCCATGGAGAAAGCGGGTTTCAAGAATTATGGATTCAAGAATCTGGGTTAGCTGCGAGAGTGGGCCACTGGGCTGGAAAAGGAAACGTCCAGACACAGAGCAGCGATCCCTGCGATGTTTGGACAGATACGGCACACAGCTCAGAAACACGCTTGGCTCAAACCCACCATCTTGACTCAAACGCATTAGCCAGCAAGATAGGCTCACTTGCGCGAGACGAGTTGGCATCGGAATCGCCGAGAGGCGAGGCAGATAGAAACCGAACGGCATCAGCTACACTTGTGCGAGAAGAGGCAATGGTTGCAGGCAGCGGCGCGAGGACGAGAACCCGGACGTCATCGGCTACAGACTGGAGCACACGAGTGCGAGAGGAGGCTGCAGAGTCAGCGGGCAGTGGTGCGTCGGCAGGTAGTGGTGCCAGGACTGGGGACAGCGCGCCATCAGCCACGGTTGGGGACGCAAGCAGTGGGGCGATGCCGGGAGGCTACGCGTCATCAGCTACAGTCGGGGGTTCACGTGTGCGACTAGAGGCAGCGCTAACGGGCAGTGGCGCTAAGCAGGAAAACCAGTCGTCATCAGCTACAGGCTGGGGCAGGCGTGCGCGAGAAGAGGCAGTGGCAGCAGGCAGCGCAGCGAGGCTGGGAGGCAACACGTCAGTAGCTACAGTCTGGGATAGATGCGTGCGAGAAGGAACGTCGTCAGCTGCAGGCTGGAACACACACACACACACACACACACGCACACACACGTGCAACAAAGCACTGTGATGCGGGATGGCGGAGACACAAGCCAGAACCTGAGCGCGCGAGAAGTGCCTGACGAACCTGAGCGTGCGCAAAGCGAGAAACATAGTGCTGCAGAGAAGGGCGTCCAGCCGATGTCAGCTACAGCCAGAGACACAGGTATGCGAGAAGAGGCAGCGCTAGTGGGCAGTGGCGCTCAGCAGGGACACCCAACTACAGGCGGGGAAGCTCGTGTGCGAGAGGAGACGGCACAAGCACGAGGCTGGACGCCCAGACATCATCAGCTACGGCCTGGGACTCATGTATGCGAGAACAGGTCGCTGTTCGGGGGGTACCTGTGCGAGAAGAGACGGCAGTGGCAGCGGGCGAACTGTTAGGCACCAAGACGTCATCAGCTACAAGCGCAGCTGCGGCAGCTGTCGGAGGGGAGCCATCCCCCCAACTGCTGGCTGCGATGACCTGGGCGAGCCGTATGCGTGCGCACGCGCACAGCATCCCCATTCCTTTCGAGTGCGCCGACGCGGACAGCATCTTTGACAAGGTGAGGCAACACATACGGTTCGTTGAGCGGGAGACGGGAGTGCGGGCGTTCCCCGGCACATCCGCAACGGTTCCCACGATCTCCCTGTACGTGTCAGACAAGGTCAGCGACTCCCGTTTCGAAGAAGCGGTGCGCATGCTCGAAGACCCCCTCGACCCGCG